ACTAAATATTTCAGTTTTATCTACACAGTGAAATTCGATAAATCAGATCTTCGATAAACCGGATTTGCGCCTAAACCGGACTTTTTTGCTAGAACCAAATCACGTATATTAAAATAGGTTCGATATACCGGAGTTTACTAGTAAAAGCTCGATATTCGCTATAACAGATCAATTTTCTAACCAGCTATAGTAAAAATGATTCGATAAACCAGATAACGTGACTGGGAACCAATAAAATTTAAGTGACGTGATGCGGTAAATCCCAAATTTGGCTGGAATTATAAAAATCTTAATTCTGGCTGAAGTTATGTATTACTTTTAAAATATTTTATATTCATTTTCATGACCTCTATGACTTAAAACTAGATGAAAAAATCAAATTATAGTGTATATTAGTTTTATTAGCATGAAAATTTTTTAAAAATTCAATATAATAGATTTTCAATATATCGAAATTTTTTCGCTAAACCGGATATCCCGATAAACCGGATATTTTTAGTGGAACCGATAGATCCGGTTTATCGAATTTCACTGTGTATTATTATTAATAATAATGTTATATTTATTTTTATTTCAAACAAATTAATGTAAGATTTATTTAGTAATATATCAAGTAGTTACAAATGAAAGTTAATCTATTTGAAATAATTACTAAATCAGTATATTTTTTTAAAATTAATTTTTATAACATCTATAGTAAAAGAATTTAACATTTAAATTGGTATTTTATCTTACTATTATATTTAAATATTTTTTATTTATCAAATTATTTTATCTTTATTTATCTAACTTTTTGAATTGGTATAAATAATTACTTTATTATTATAAGTTTAAAAATAATTACTAGGGGTAATTTTATTCTATTAGACATATAAGCTAAAAATAGTAAATAATAAATATTATGTTCAGTTGATAAAATTAAAATAGTTTTAATACCATATTAATTAACAAAATAAATGCAAGTAATTTTCATCTATATTTGCAATTAAAAATAATAAATATTAATATTTTTTTCTATAAAAAAGTATATATATCAAATATAATAAAAAATTATTTATTATTTAATATAATTTCTGGAACTACTAAATAACTGTTATTTTTTTTTTATTATAATCAAATTATAATTCATTAACCTATTTTTAAGAAAATTTTTCTTCTTTTATATTTAAATATATTATTTTATATACTGGTTTTTTAGTTAAAGAATATACTTTTACTTGAATTATATAATAAAAAACTGTTTTAATTAATTTTAAGACTTTTTAAATTATTTTATAAATTTAGTTTTAAGCTGTAAACATTTTGGCTTTATATCTATAATAAGTTTTAAGTATAAAGAGCTATTTTTATAAACTGTTTTTTATTTAACTATTCACAAAGTTGTTTTAACTTAATTTTAAATTTATTTACTATTAATCATTTATTATAACTTTGTTTTAAAAATTTTTATAAATTATAATTCTAAAATGTAATTTATAAATATCTTTAAATATAAACTTACAATTATTTATTAATACCTTGAAAATTTAAAGGTATAGTAAAAAAATAGCAATTTATAAAAAAAAAATTACTATAAATTCTTAAAAATGTTAATTTTTTAAGTTAATATATTTATAATAAAATTATAAAAGTCTTCCTTAAAAATTAATATAATTATTATTAAAAATAATATTTAGTTCTATAAAAATAAAACGTATTATTTTTATTTTATATAATGTAAAAAATATCTAAAAAAAGCACCATTTTATCTAATTTATATTTTATTATAAAAAAACAAAAATTAAATAAATAATGCTTTTTTAGATATTTATTATATATAAAATAAGTTTAATACATTTATTTTTATAAAATAAAAAAAATTTGCTTTAATAAAAAAATACATCATGTAATTTTTTTTATAGTAAAATAAGATATTTTATAATATAAATTTGGCTAGAATTAAGAAAATTCTGGCTAGAATTATAATTTAAAGATTGTTAATTTATAATTTTAGCTAATTTTTAAACTTTAAATATATATTATAATATAATAAATTAATAATATTATAGTATAAAAAAATTTTCTATTTATTTTGTAATATTTTTATTATAAACTGTTATTATTATTTTTTTAAAAAAAATATTATTATTAATATTTTATTTTGTTAATTTTTTTTTTAATAAAATATTATATTAATATTTTATTAGTTTAAAGTATAAATTAATAATTTATATATAGTATATTTTTAATTATTTAAAAATTAATATTAAAAAACTTATAAAAAATTATTAAATTTATTATACTGATTTTTTGAAATTTTATGTTTTTATTTATTCTTAATTGTCAATTATTAATAAGTAGCAGGCAAGAATTCTAGAACAATAAATTTTAAAATAAAATATTTTAATTAATATTATATTTATAAAAATGAAATAAATCAAAAAATCCATCAAATATTTGCTAGTTGAGTAGAATATTTTAGGAGTTTATATTTATAAATATATAATTATCATAAATAAAATATTGATCTCTATAAGAATAAATAAAAAAATAAATAAATAAATATAATAAATATCAAAATGTTTATTTTAATAAAATAAATTTAATAAGTTCAAAATCATTAAAATCCAATTACTGATTCTTGAAATAGCAAAATTTAAAGTTAAAAAATTAATATAATTTTATCGAATTTATTATAAGATTTATATAAAATTAAATCTGAGTTTTTTTTTAATATTATTCTATTATTATACAAATTACTTATAAAATTAATTGCCAATTTTTTTAGTATTAATTGACTAATATTAAACTGAATTTTATCCAATAATTAGTAATTTAAAAATTTTATTAAAATGGATTATTCTTAATAAAAAAATACTTAATATATTATTATTATAAATTCATTAATTTAATATTAAAAAAAATTAATAAAAAATTTAGAAGTAAAATATTAATAAAAGAAATTTATAAAAATTACATAAATATCTTTTATATTTTTTTTATAATATAATATATAACTTTATTATATAATTGAATGTACAAATTAACTTTGATTTTATTATTATTATAGTTTTAACATAATGATTAATACTTTCTATTAAATAATTATTACTAATATACTGTTTAATTAAAATAAATTACTAATAAACTTTTTAATTTATTATTTAAAATTATAGGCAATTATGGAAAATAATACTTAATCTTAAAATTTTTATAATATATATATTATAATTATCTATATAATATGGTATATCTGTTGTGCCTCAGATCGATTCTTGCCTCAGATTGAAGCTCACGCAACTCAGATTGAGATTGTCATCTGACGCACCTCAATTGCTAATAAAAATGAGCTATAATTAAACATCAAAATTTCCAATTTTAATGTATTTTTAAGTACTAAGTAAACTTATTTATCATTATTTTAAGTATATAATCCTAAAATTTCAGATTAATTAGAATCATGCTCATTAAATCTTTTCATTTGAAAAATGACTTAAAATTTAATGATTTTTCAGATAAAGTACAAGTATAAACTTCAATATGAATCAGATTTACATAAAGATTTCAGGAAACATGTAACTCATTATGGCGCACAAGTTTGTTTATGTTACAAAAAGTGGTTTAATTAATGAGAAAAAAAGTTTACTTATAACAGACTTTATTGAATGATTCAAATGAGGTGCGTGAGCTTCAATCTGAGGCATGAATCGATCTGAGGCACAACATATCTAATAAACTTTTTTTATATAGACAAAAATATTGATTTTTTATTTAAATATTCTTTTTTTATTTAAACAAATATTTTCATTTAAATATACTGTACATTGTCATTGTCATTTGATTTAATACACCAAAAAACAATATTACTACTATTACTACTTGTTTTATATGTTTTTGCCATCCATTTTTACTACACCTGATCTTTTGCAATTACTTTATATAATATTAACAGTAATTTTTTTAAAAAAAATGCATCTTTGAATTAGTATATGTATTATTGCACTTATATTTTAAATCTAAATGATTAAAAAACTCACTAATTAAAGGTAATTTGCTTGAATTTTTAATGGTAATTCCATATCAGATTTTAATAAAATTGATTCGGTAATTGAATAATAATAAGAGTAAATGTAGTAGGTATTACCAAATTATTTTTATGATAAATACACTTGATTTCACGTCAAATATTGGATAGAATAGTATCATAGGTTGGTCCTTTATTCTATTTTAATAAAATTAATAGCGAGTGAGTATTATTTTTATGAATTCACAAAAAAAAAAAAAAAATTTACATACAATATCATCAATATCATAAGCCCATAGTTGTAATCTAGAAGAGTAAAGGTAAAAATGCCAACCATCTTAAATGAAACATGGAGTAAAAATATAAATCACATTTAATACATTTCGACCAAATTAACAATACCCCAGATCACGTTTTCTCCTCTTTTCTTTTCTTATTGAAGGAGATTTCTTTTTCGTAATTCAAAAGTTGATCTAATAATATTATTAAAATGTTAAAAAAATCAATAACCCATTAAACATTTTTGCATAAAAGAACTTTACCTTTTTATGTTTCCTATTTTTTTCCATTACATCACAGTTACTATAACTGACATTCTTTTACCACTTTTTGATATTCATTAATAAATTCTTGAAAATCTTATTATCTTCAAGTGTATTTGATGGTCCACATGCATTTACAGCTTTATATGACACGGTATGATTACGTTTTGATTTAGCTTCTTTCTAATAGTTTTTGGTTGCTAAATTTATTTTTTCCGTAACATTCTTATAGTTAACAAGTTGAATAGCCAGAATTTTTGCTATAGGCGTTTTTATATTGTTATTTTTAACAACTAATTGTATATTTATTTCATCAATAATATTGACTTCATTATAATCTTTCAGGAACAAGAAGAGGATATCAGGGAAAATGATTCTATGGATATTGACATAGCTCGTCTGGAGAATACTAAAGATCTTTTAGCACTGGGTGGGAAGGTCAATGGGATAATGATTCAGTGTTTAGCTGACACTTGTGCTAACGCTGTCATCATTGTTATCATCATTTTCATCATCATAATCTCTATCATTATCATCTCATAATTTTCATCATCAACAACATCATCAACATCATCATAGTTATCTTTATTATTATCATCATCTTTATCATCATCTTTATCATCATCTTTATCATCATCTTTATCATCATCTTTATCATTATCTTTATCATCATCTTCTTTCCTATTACTATAATTCTCTCTTTTCTTTTGTTATAAATTATCCAAACAATGAAGACAATTACTTCGTTATGTGAGCATTTTTGGATTTCTTTGATTACTATCTTTTAATTGTTGAAGTTTGCTATTACAAGTGCATGTAGAATAGAAAAAAAATTACTATTGTACCCAAATTTGGCATTGATATATAAGAGAATTGATATTGATTTAGAGTGAAGGCAAGCTGATATATTTGTTATCCGTGCAGAGGTTTTGACTCGTTTTGGTACTTGCGTGGAATTTCCTGTGGAAGTTGAAATAATGTAAACCACGTATAATAAGTACCGGGAAGGTATTCACAGGTAGATTTTTCCGCCATTTAAATAACTTTAAAGCGCGAAATGCTACTTCAACTTCTTTTTCGTGTAAGCAAGCAAGTGATCATAAAAATATTGACTAATCGGTTTTTATTATAAAAGATCGACATCACCTGATCACAGGCGGCAATAAAAGAAATGTATATGTAAAAAAAAATGTTGATTTAAAACAATTAGTTTATCGATCGTATGCTGAGACAATAGGTACTATATAGCACCTCCCTCCCCACCTTAATACACTTAATACACTCAGATTAATTCTGGTAGATACTATACGATATTATGTCGAAATCCTCTGAGTATAGGCTTTGATGCATCTCGACCATAGGTCGACTAGGTCGTCGCGATTTGACCATCGCAGTAGAAAATTATCGTAATTTTTTATCGCAATTTCTATGAGCCTTCAGCTCAAATTCGTTTTTATTACAATATTAAAGTAGAAAATAAAATTATTATGAAAAATATAGTATTTAAATTTATAAAGTCTATTAAATTTTACAAATATTACATATTAATTAAAATAATAAATTAAATAAGCGAACAAATTTTTTTCTTTACATAATAAATCATCAATTCTTTTTCCATTCTATATAACCATTTTCAACTAGTTCTTTATATAATTCAATTGCTTTAATTTTATTTTTTTCGATTCCTATTCCATTATAATAACATTCTCCAAGTTTAAATTTTGAACCGATATCACCTTTTTCAGCTGCTGTTTTATATAATCCAAATGCTTTGATGTTACTTTTTTCAGTTCCTATCCCATATTGATAACAATTTCCAAGCATATATATTGAATCAATATCACATTTTTCAGCCGCTTCTTTATATAATTCAAATGCTTTAACTTCATTTTTTTCAGTACCTATTCCATATTGATAACAATATCCAAGTTGATGTATTGATTTAACATAACCTTTTTTAGCAGCTTCTTCATAAATTTTGAATGCTTTAAATTCATCTTTTTTAATTCCTATTTCATGTTGATAACAATAAGCAAGATCATGAATTGAATTAAGATGATCCATTTCAGCGGCTTTTTTATATAATTCGAATGCTTTAACTTCATCTTTTTTAGTTCCTACACCATGTTGATAACAATTTCCAAGTTGATGTATTGATTTAATATAACCTTTTTCAGCTGCATCTTTATATAATTCAAATGCTTTAGATTTATTTTTTTCGATTCCTATTCCATTATAATAACATTCTCCAAGATTATATATTGAATCTACATGACCTTTATCAGCTGCTTTTTTATATAATTCAAATGCCTTAATTTCATTTTTTTCAGTACCTATTCCATATCGACAACAATATGCAAGATGGTGTATATCACTTGACTTTAATTGATCATTATCATTTGTTTGTATTATATTTATTACTTCTCTATTTGGCAACTTGAATGATGGTCGAAGACGTTGAAAAAATTGAATAACAAGTGGATTATCAACAAAAGAAGAAGAAACTTCAGCTGAATATAATGCTTTAGATAATAAAATTTCAAGAGATTTTTGTTCTTCTTCACTTATATGGTCACGAAAGTCGTCAATTATTGATGAAGTATTCTGTTGACTAAATTTTGATTTTGCGTTATTAGGTGCTCTTGGACATTTCTTGTCGAGGTGAGCTTGCATTCTTTCCGGAACAGCTCGTTGAAAATCTTTCGAACAATATTTACAATGTACGTGGGGATGTGGATCATTCCCACTGTTTACACTATTAAAATGTTCCCAAACAGGTCCCTTTCTTCTTACCATTTTAACTATTTTGTTTTTTTTTTTAAGAATCAATTTATCAGAAAAATATGTAAATTAGGAGGAAATGTAAAAAAAAAAATATGATTTTTAATAATTTTTAATTTTTTGTTGAGAATCGGGAGGAGCAACAGGTGATTATATATACTCAAAATTAGTATTAAAAAATAAATTGGCTGTTAGTATGATTATAAATTTAGAAAAAACCGGAAAAAAAGTTTAACCAGGTTAATTGACCCGAGGCGCGGTTATAGGATTATCATGGGTCAATATAAAGCCGTAAATCGGAAAATTTGATTCCGATTATTTTAACCGATGGGATGATGATTAATTGGATGATTAATTGGATGATTAATCACTTGTTAACTACCGGAAAATGTCGAATCGTATAAAGAATTTAATATGGTTAAGATTTTAGTTTTTCAATGCCAAAAAATTTTATGAATTAAAATAAATTGAGAGATTTTTTCACATATAAAAAGCTGTAAAGAAGAATCTTATTAATATTAATTATATTTCAATCATCGTAAATTTGTTATCTGTATTTATTTCAATTCTCTTCAAATGCTTTTTATGCTCCCATTCCATATAATTTATTTTTTTCAGCTGCTTCCACTTAAAATTCCAATTCCAAATGTACATGATTTGCATAACGGTAAACGTTATAACCGACGTATTTGATTCAATATGAACTTTTTTAGCTATACTATTCAAATACTTTGATTTGCAATATGATGAACCATTTTTAAATATGTACAGTATATATATATAATTCTATTACTTTTACTTCATATCTCAAAACCGGTAAATTGATTTAGCATATCGAATAATTTACGGCTCATGGGAATTTTCCTGCATAATTCCGTTTTTCCCCTCCTTTCTTATTATGTTTAGATGAAATAGTAATACAAGCTGAGATTTACTAGTAAAAAAAAGGAAATTTAATGTATTGAAAAGCCGATACATTATCTCATGCTAACCATAAAAAAAACAAATTTCAAATTTTTAGTAATTAAAAGGTAAACCGTTTGTGTGATTTAAAAATAACAATCAATTGTTTATTTATTTTTGAGAGCTAATCTAGTACTATATTAACTTATTTCTACTTATTCTAATTTTACTCTATTTCTTTTTCTAGTTTAGTCTTCTAATATTACGCTATGTTGTGATACATGATCATTAATTATCGATTAACATCCAACCTTTATCATATAATTCAAATGCTTTTTTTTCGTCTTTTTCAGTTCCTATTCCATGTTCATAACAATATCCAAGGTTATCTATTGCATCAGTATTGTTTTTATCAGATGCTTCTTTAAAATGTTCAAATGCCTTAACTTCATTTTTTTCAGTACCTATTCCATAATAATAACACCATCCAAGCTTGTTTATCGATTTGGTGTAACCTTTTTCGGCAGCTTCTTTATATAATTCAAATGCTTTAATTTCATTTTTTTCGGTTCCTTTTCCATGTTGATAACAACATCCAAGTTCATATTTTGAAGCGATATGACCTTTTTCAGCTGCTTTTTTATATAATTCAACACTTTTTTCACTTGAAGATCCTGAATGATAACCATTATCATCTGTTTGTACGGTTATTATTTCTTTACTTGGTAACTTGAATGATGGTCGAAGACGTTGAAAAAATTGAATAACAAGTGGATTTTCAACGAAAGAAGAAGGAACTTCAGCTGATGATAATGCTTTTGCTAATAAAATTTCAAGATATTTTTGTTCTTCTTCATTAATATGATCACTGGATGTTGATTTAATATTTTGTTGTAAAGCTTGTGATTTTGCGTTATTAGGTGCTTTTGGACATTTTTTATCAAGATGAGCTTGCATTCTTTCAGGAATACCTCGTTGATAATTCTTGGAACAATATTTACATTGTACATGAGGATGTGAATTGTTATTTCTACTTTCACAATTAAAATGTTCCCAAACTGGTCCTTTTTCTCTTGCCATCTTTAGTTTTTTTTTTTGCAAAATAGTATAAAGAATGATTTAAATAATTCATAAAGGGATGTAAAATTTTTTCGAGTTATTTTTAAATAAAATTTGATTAATAATAAAAAAAAAATTTGAGTATCTGTCAGTTGATTATTGTAATTTTTGGTAGTTCCGAAATAATTGACTTTAATAGGATAATTTTTTTTAGGATGTTAGTTAGAATCATGTGGTCAGGTGGTTTGTTGATCTTTAATTAGTCTTATATAAGGGATAGAAATAAGTTAATTGACGTTCAGTTAATTTGGTTAGAATGGTTAATTAACCGTTATTTTTTAATATATCATTATTTGGTTTTATTGAAAAACTAAAAAAAAATAATAACATTTGAAACATTTGAAACATATGATTTTAAAATGTGATCATATGAACCGTGAAGATCATCACCTCATAGCCGACTTAAACCGAGGGTTATTCATTTTGTATCAACGGATGAACGGATGAGAGGTGTTGCTATTTATAACTGATCTACAGCCTACATGAAACTTCTAGTATTTTTACCGCAGGAATATCGTACTCATGCACGTGAATCCGAAAATACGAATTTCTGCGAAGGCGCGTAGAAATGTTTCGATCCGGATAAAAACCGTCATCCGGATAAATTAAAAAAAATATCCGGATTATTCGACTCAAATATAAATCCGGATTAATATTTTTTTTTTTGTAAATAAAAAAAATTCGTAGCATCAATTTAATTGAATTTGTGATATTTATTTAACTAAATTATGTGAATAACGGGTTAAAATACAAAATTTTAATTTATGAATTTTTTGCTAACAAGTATCAAATTTTTTGAAAAGTTTAAATATGTAAACCTTTTTTTTTTTTTTTTGCAATAAATACGTTATTATAAATAAAGTGATAAACCCGTGTTCATCAAAAATTGCTGTGCCACAAATATTATGCGCATAATCGATTATCCGGATTTTAAAAAATTTTTTTTCTATACAGTATTTATTATCCGAACGAACCGGATATTTATAAAAACCGCAATCATCCAGAATATATCTAAAAAAAAAATTATCCACGTTCATCCGGTTGATTCAAAGTTTCAAAAAAATAAAAAAGTGGTTCAATCAAATGTATATGATTTGAAATTAGGTCAAAATTTTTTTTAAAAAAAAAAAAATTCACGGAAAATTCTGAATCCGGATACGGATCGAGACACTACTTCCCTAAAATTATGTTATATGAACTATAATATGCCGATTACATATTTAATATTCAAAATATAGCTCTTGCAGCAATATGAATTATATGATAAGGCAATGCACAAGATCATATTTATTTCTTGAAACCGAATGAATACAGAGATTACGATTACAGTGTAACAAATTGTATAACTTTTGTGCCCTTTGACATATCAATTTAGAAATACATACATATTACATTCTTCTCTTGCTTTTTTGTTCTTTCTGACTTCCTGTTTTTCTTTAAATTGGGAGGAACACCAACTTCGCTTGGGAATCTGAATAAAGAAAAGTAAAATAAATTAGGATAGGTCTATCGTTTTCCACATGTTCCATTTTTTGCCGTTATTTCTAGACTTTAAATGCCCACAATGCTAGACTCATCATATCCAAATCAAAAATGAGGCCGTAGTAAAATTCCGAAATCACGCGCTCCATTAAGAATTTAGTAGAAGTAATATGCAAAATAAGTATAATATTTTGTATTTTTACTTTTTAGATTAAAAAGGGGTATTTTGAGAAAATGTTATACGCAAAAAGAATATTACAATAAAGTATAAAGTTTGAGATCATATGGTCAAATGTAAATTTTTATAAAAGTGTATATTTTAGAGATGGTGATTGATATATAAATCAGATTTAAATTGTAGGAATTGCGAAACATGCACTGGAAATACAGGATTTATTAAAAGAGGAGACTGGTCAAAAGTTCTTATTTTTATTTTTCATTCACAGGGGGAAACGTTAGTAGTGCGTGCACACTCAGCCGCCCGAAAATAGCCATCTGCCTGGTGGTTTTTGACCCAGAGCCTACCTCTAGGCCAAATGTCATATGATAAATGACCATAACATTGGTGTGGCATTAGCGGTTTGTCCTAGTACAATTTAATATATTAATATATTAAATTGTACTAGGACAAACCGCTTGCATCAGACTAAAATGTCCTAGGTCATTATAGTCTATTGATTAATATGTACTAGGACATTATAATCTATCAATTAATATGTACTAAGACATAATAGTCTATCAATTAATACGTCCTAAGACATAATAAATCATTGACTAATTTGTCCTAAAGTTGGGGTCCGCTTTTCCTGTTTGTGACTTATTGGTCAGTAAATATGGGTGTGATGTGCGCCTATTTGGTTGTCTTTAGGATGCCGAAAAAAAGGTGACGGGTAGCACAGTAAATTCGTGATTAATTTCGGCCAACACTATTTCTTAATTCTGGCCGATCTTTAGAGCATGTGATTTGGAGGATCCAGCTTGGCGCCATGGTAGCGACCTGGTAGTATCCTGGAGCTGTCATGGAACTAGTGAGGAACTGGCAAGGAACTAGAGTGATTCTATTAGTTCGCCAGTTTCAGGCCAGCTTGGATGCCAGCTTGAATGCCGAGTTATTTATGTCAAAAGATCTGGCCGAAATTATGGAATAGTGCTGGCCAAAATTAACAAAATTTACTGCGCCTTACTGCGTCATGATCACGTGTTCAGTTCCTCGCCAGTTCCAGGCACTTTCCCATCACTTTCAAGTAACTTTTGAGTAACTTTCGAGGGCCTGGTTTGGTGGTCAGTTGGTTAGAGGATCAGAGGTGTAATTTGCATTATATTAATCCGCCCATATATTTTCCTTCTTGATTGCCAATCTCTTAATTGCCAGATGAGGCACGAAGTGCCGAATTTGCAATCCATCATCTATTTGCTAAAGATGTGTTGCAATCCATTCACTCACTTTTTGATTGCCGGTGAGGCAAGAAGTGCCGATGTTGTGCCATTCTTGCAATCCTGCCTTTCGTGACCCTTTTGATTGCTGAGGATGAGGCACAAAGTGCCGAATTAGTTCAGGCTATATTGCTTTCATACCTTTTTTCGTGTATTCTCCTGAGACTTTCTGCCTTCCCAATCTCTTTCCTGCCTATCGGCGGTAGTACACCAAAGCATAATTTCTTATTTTCTTTCCTATATATTATTCTACTTTGGTGTACTACCAAATTTATATCCTAGTTTTCGCCCGAGCTTTCCTAGAACTCTTTCTCGTATAGTTACTATTCTGGGATACTTTGGGGTACTACTACATCGATTATTTTTAGGCATTATTATATTGATTACTTTTGGGTACTACCACTAACCCAGTGTTTTGCCAGCAAGCATATTCGCTCAAAATTATATAAAATTTTTATTTTGAACTTTCCTAGTTTTTCTGTTATTTTATACTGCTTTCTTGCATATACACCATGCTTCTTGCGCAAAAAAATGCTGGGCCGAGCCCTAAAACAATAAACGAAGCAATCAGGCTCTTTTCAGGGTTAGCGGACTTTGATTTTGAGCCTGGCTATAATGATCATGTATACTTTCAATATTTGTCTAATAATAAAAATGATATCTCTCTTCTAGGAGCCTATCATCCTGAAGAGATTTATTCAAAATATATTATTCGGGTAGCAGAAAAGGGTTTTACGGTAGTTGATCATCCATCTGAAGTTTATGGGTTTCCCGATACTCACGAATGTATTGATGGGAATCTGCCTCTTCGCCTTGTTCTGGATATTGACGCAAGGCAGTATTCTGATCCCATGAATCCCGAACTCCCTTCCTTAGATGGATATAAAATTTCTCGCGAAGATTTATTATCCAGAATCTTAATTGCCTGCACCGATATTATAAACTCTAATTTAAATCATTTCATAATATTAGACGCTTTTGCCTTAGCCAGTTCGTCTAATGCTAATAAATGCAGTTGGTATATCGTGTATCCTTATACCCGTTTTATTGACTATAGAGATCTAGAGGGTTTTGTAAAAAAAGTCGCTGATAAGGTTGGAAAACCATACTCAAAGTTTATCGATTTTGACCTTTATAAATCTCGCTTTAGTCTCCGGCTCCTTGGATCGGCAAAGGAAGATAGAATTAAAAGACCTGCGATTTCTTCTGTCAAGGAAGGATATTGCGAGCTAGAAAATTATTTAGTTTAGCCTAAATCCAATTATTCTGAAATCTGGCCCCAAACCTTTTCCTCTGAGAAGCCAGAAAAAGAGGAATTCCAACCCATCGAAGATAAAACTACCTTAAGCGTGGGAGCTGGCTTGGTTACCACAAAATATGGATGGCTTAAGGTTGGCGACATTAGAAAGGGATTTATTAACTTTCAAGCTCGGTCATTGGAAGAATGTCCCATTTGCAATATCAAACACGAAAAAGATCAGTTATATGGCTTTCTTCGAAGTAACGGCTGTTTTGTACTCAAATGTTATCGGCAGAAAAATTATAAACCAGATCATAAGGGATTAGCGTTTGGAAAAGTGACCGAAGTTTCTGCAAAACCTAAGAGAGGAATAGTCGAAAGAATAGGTGATGCTATATCAAATCCACGTCCTCTTGTAGGATTATCAGAAATGATGATTAATGTAGAAAAATTAAAGGATGCTCCAGAAGTATATCCCAATTTCTTGGATATTGAGAAAACAACAACACTTATTCGTTCTCCCCAGGGACATGGAAAACCATTGCATTAAGAGAGATTATTATGGCATTGAAAGATAAGGTACATGATATTTCTTCTTTACCATGCTATATCTGGATCTCTTACCAAAAGTTTCTTAGCAATGAATCAAAATCCAAACTTAATGAGTTAAAAGCATCTGGCTTCCGAATTTGCAACTACCAAAATATGCAAGGAGACTTATCTATAAATGAGTGGGATATTATCATAGTACAGGTTGAGAGCCTCTTTCGTGTTGAATTCACAGCCCGTCTGTTTGTAGCTATTCTCGATGAAGCTAATGCAATTATGCGCCAAATGTCTAGCGGTACAAATGCACAGGAATCTGAAAACGCAATGTGTGATGTCTTAAGAACTGCGAGACATGTTTTGGCCATGGATGCCTTCGCAAATATCTCAACACTAACCTTCCTCCAGATTTATCGTAGTGAAAATATTCGTGTAGTCGATAATAAGTATCAGCCTCGTATAGGTGAGACGGTTGAATTTATTTATGATCCGAATAGTGGAGCAGAAGCCATGCGAATAGGATATGACCTTTTGAGGCAGGGTAAACGTGTGGCATTTGTATCTACCGGAGCGGTGATAGCTAGAACGTTAGTAGAAAAAGCATCTAAGTAATCTAAGCCTGATAATTCACCTGTTAGAGCCCGTGCATACTATGGAGATATGGATGGAAAACAGAGACAAAAAGACTTTTCCGATATTAATGTCGCTTGGAGTAAGCTTGACTGTGTGGCTTATACAAATACAGTGGAAGCGGGTATATCTTTTGAGATTATAGGCCACTTTGATATAGTTATAGCCATTACAAATATTGCCACACCAGTTCATGTTGAAGCTCTTGCGCAAATGCTTTACCGAATTCGTGATTCCCCCCGTCGTATTGTTTCTTTATTCTATCAGAAAAATTCTAACGAACTTTTTCGCCCACCAGGTCATGAAAATATTCAAGCAGAACTTGAAAGTGCTCGGCCTAATAATTTGCCCACAGCAATAAAGGGACATCGTGAATGGAATAATAATGGCATTTCTTATAAAGTTGACGAGTCTCCTGCCGTAATAACTTTTATTGAAGTTGAGCATCAGAAACGCCTTTCTGCGAGATACTTTATTGAGAAGCTTTGTAGTCTTATAGCCAGTACTGGCGCTTCTCTCCAACTAATAAAAATGGATGAAAGCCGAGGAGTTATAGGAAATCGTAAAAGAATCCGTAATGAGGTTAGAGTTGAAGCATTAGTTATTAAAGAAACGGATTTTAATGCAGTTGCTACTTCCCAGAATCTTAGCCTTGAAGAAGCTGAAGTCCTTAAATTCGACCAAGAGCGCTCTATTGCAGATACTATGACACTTAAACGTTTTTATATGCGGAATCTTTATTGTAAAGACATGAGTATCAAGGATTGGAATAATATTTGCAATAGAAAATTCGTTGAAAATTTTAGTTCGCCTGAAGCTCGGAAGCATTTCTTACGGTTGTCTTATTTTCGAAGGCAAGGTCATGATGAAGAGAATGCAATGAAGGGATTGAAAGCTGAGGAAAATATACAATGGAAAATTGCCTGCTATAAAGCCAAAGAGAATCTGGAAAAATCAGTGGCAGAAGACTTGCGTAAATCTTATTCAGCAAAGCATTGGGAAGTTATATAAGAACTTTTTCAAATATTAGGCTTTACTGGCATTGATGACAAGCGTACTCTTTCTAGCGATACTGCATCAGAATCATTTATGCGATCTTGTGAAAAGTTTATAGAAATTCGAAACCAATCTTTATTACTCTTTGGTTTTAAGTCTCGTGCAAAGAAAACACCAGATCTTCATTCGGCTATAAAAACAATTAATGCAATTACTGGCAATTGGTGTGGGTATAACATTGAAAGTGATAAAAAAAGAATAGGGCCTAAAGGACAACAAGTTAGGCAATACTCATACCGAATTAATCGCCGGCCATATAATAGTACTGGTTTTGGAAATAAAGGTGCACCAGAGCTTCCATCATACAGGCTGAAAACAGATAATAATATTCAGGAACTCTTTGACTCTATAGGATAGGAAAAGTAATACTTGGGCCAGATTATTATTTAGCTAAGTATCTTGATCACATCAGATGGGGTCACTAAAGTAACCATCGATTCTGTTTCAGTTTTTTTACTTTCGCGCCAGGCATGGTCATAAATTCCACCATGTGTACTACAGATTCCGGTCTTGGAATAGGTTCCCTTTTTACAGACAGGACATTTTGTTCTAGGAAGGGCATTATAATGTCTGGCGTAGAGCTCCGCACGGGTAAAGGTCAATTCAGGTGACCCGTCGGGTTGACCCGAAATATTCAGGTCAGGTTGTCAAATTCGTGACCCGGTATCAGGTCAGGTTACAGGTTTGACCCGACCCGATTGACCTGTTAACCTGAATACTTTAGCTCAAAAAAAATGTTTATACTCTGAAATGGCATTTTTTCATGTTACCTTATGAAAAAAACGCCGTTTCGGTATTGTTTTTTATAAACAAATACGCTGAAATGGCGTTTTTCATTTTATTTTATGGAAAAATGCCGTTTTGGCATTTTTTCCACTTCTTTTATGAAAAAAATCGCCAAAGCGGCTTTTTTCATATTATTTTATGGAAAAATGCCAAAACGGCATTTTTTTCCACTTCTTTTATGAAAAAAATCGCCAAAACGGCGTTTTTT